GCTCGGACCTGGTCGTGCATTGCAAATTGGATCCGCCGAGATCTTAGCAATCCTTCAACACTTTGAAAACTTAAGATCAGATTCGAAATCTACGAGAATCAATGCATGGCGTATGTTGCAGCGTAAAACCGATGAAAAAACAGAAATATTCTATTTTTTGGTTTGAAATCAGAAGACATCCCTACCGCCATATCTTGCCGACATCGCTTTACATCAAAGTTTCGCGTTCGCAGTTGAGCAAAGAGAGCACGTCGATATTCTGATTCCTATGATCTACTGGCTATTTCGCTCCTTTTAAACAGGAGAAAAACATAAAAGTAGCCCAAAGTGTAATGTGTCTAAGCATCCAATGTCTCTTATCGCTCTACAGAACAAGACATTTAAAAAATCCAAATCCATTGGGCGTTTATTATTTGTGTCAAACATTGTTTTGAGTTGCACTTCAAATATGCAAATACACTTTACAAAGCATTTAATTTGGAAGTTATTATACTGTATTTATTCTTAATAAGTTAAATTGTTAACCATTATGTTTTGTGCATCAATTAAATGTCCATATTAAAATCCATCAGTGCTGACTGCAGCATTAAATGTCTGCTGTATGACACCAAAATATTGGCATTCAACTTGGAACGCAAGATCCCGTCGTTTCTTTCCTGGAGGTACTATTGAGAACAACAAACATTCGCATCCCTTTTTTGATCACCAATTCTTGGCGTTCTTTTCCTATTACATAATATGTTTGATCTAATACGGGTCGAGGCTAAATTTCTGTACCATATTAAGATTTAATTAAATTATGATAGTACTCATTCAATAGAAAATCATAGTGATGATGCTACCACATAATTGTATAGTAGTACTGCTCAGTCCATGTGACTTCAAATACGGGGCGAGCCCTCACAAATAACTAACAGACAATTAATAGAACTCGATAAAATTAACAGGACAACGGCACTGAAGATAAGAGGGTGAGAAGGTTTGTTTTACTTACAATAGATTGAAAAAGCCACTTTGAACT